TGAACACGAGCAAAGGGCGTAAGACCGAGACCCAAGTATTGCCCAAAGCATACTTGTTGACTCGCACCTGCGAAGAATTTTTCGAAGGAGTTAACTCCAAATCATAATCGCCCCTTACCTTTTGAATTTCAGATGGCAGTACATAGTAATGAGGCTGACCAAATGAGCAGTAGCGATAAAGAAAGTGCAATGAAGCGTGAAGCCTGGGAAGGTAGAAGACGCTCCATAATAAGCCGTATAGTACCAGTTTGTTGTGCGACAGTCAGATTGTTAGTAACATTCACCGTAGCTCACAAATAAAAGATATCGAAGGAGGACGATTATCCACTGGTTCTACTCAGTAGGACTGCAACCCACTACTCGAGAGCAGCAACATGCTCTTCAGCCCCAGACCGGCATATTGTGCGGCCACGACAAGCAACTAAGAAAGAAAAACCGACAAACGCATCATCAGCATTCCTAAAAATTTGGTCATCATTAATCTAATATCAAAATTTCTAGCAGATTGAGTTCATTCAATTTTCTTCTGAAGATGTTGGCACTGGATGCTTCCAGAAGCTGAACCATCTTACCGAATGGAAGAAAACGTTGTTGAATAGTTGAGCATAGTTTTGAGACAAGATCCTTGGCAATTGAAGTGTTCCTTGGAAGCCCGACTTGACTTGCATTGCTGGGGTCGGACCACCCCAGCTGCTTATAGTTCTTCTCCAAAGATGACGAAGTAAGCAACAATTAAGTCATTCTCGATCCGCCTCACAATCAAGGGTTTCAGATCTAGCAATCTTAAGCGTTACCAATAGCAAGTAAGCGAAAGATGGGAAGCATCTGAAAAAGATCAATCTTGTGAAGGTTTGCTATACCCTCTCAAACTTCGATATGTCCTTTTTCAGGGCAGGATTCCATATGGGGGAACAGTACTCAAAATGTGGTAGGACAAGAGCCTTGTAGAGTCGAAGTAATGATTTTGTATCTTTGCTACTAAGGTCCGAAAGATGAGGTACAAAACTACTACATAAACAGACTTGGTGACTTTATCAAAATGATCTGTGAAGATTTCGAGCGTTACACCAGATTGAGCGCGGTGGCGTCGCGTTTGCATTGGTGCGCACAGGAGCTTCTACTCGGCCTAGCGCGAAATGTTAAGCAGACTACTTACTCTTCAAAAAGTTAATTCATTTTTTGTAAAGTTTCATTTCTTCAAAAAATCGCCCGTTAGGACCGTTTTTTGTGCACAACCGGGTTTTTTTGGCTTTCAATGACTATAACTTTCTTCAGAAAGACCTTTTGCAATTATTGTCCCCCTGGGATAAACTAGAAGGTTAGAGCTTTCTAACGAATACTTGAACTCTTTCAAAACTGATGGAGTCAAAAAATCGCCCCGTTGGACCGTTTTGGGGAAATCGCGGACCGATTTTTGGCAGAGCGCTGGTTTTTTGGCTTTGAACTGTTATAACTTTCTTCAGATTAACTTTTTGCAGTTCTTTCCCCTGGAAGAAACTAGAAGGTATTATTTATTATTATTATTATTATTATTATTATTATTATTATTATTATTATTATTATTATTATTATTATTATTATTATTATTATTATTATTATTATTATTATTATTATTATTATTATTATTATTATTATTATTATTATTATTATTATTATTATTATTATTATTATTATTATTATTATTATTATTATTATTATTATTATTATATTATTATCGGTAATAAACACAACAGAACACAAAACATTATGTTATATACATTTCCGATATGCGTGTAAGAAATCAAAAATACTAGAGAGATACCAATTACAGGAGGCAATAGTCATAAAGGGTAATGGGAAGGCACCAAGGCGTCGAGGGTAGGACACTCGGTGGTGAAGAGCAGTGGCCCGCCAACACTGCAAGTCGCACCAGACATTGAGCGGCTCCGGATACCATCTTAGTAGGTCCGTCAACGCCACCGAGGCCCACCTTTTAGGAGAGGGAATAAGGGGTCACACCTGAAGGGCGAATTCACTGAGAAACATAATAACAAAACCAAGGAAGGTGCCATGATCAGAACAAACAATGATGAAAAACCTAAACTATGTCATAACAAACACTCAGCAACTTAATGAAAAATCGCTTCTGAACCTTTACAAAGATCAAACCTTAGCATTGTTCTTATTCTTAATTGGAATGGAAGCTGAATATCTCGAAAACGACATATTCAGTTTTTAGTACCACTCCTGAGCAATTGAAATTTCTTCAGTTTGGTTTCGAAAAGAACTCACAGATCTAAAACTAACAACCGATGATGGTAAGCTGTTCCAGACCGTAATGATTCTCTGGGTGAAAGAATCACGAAACTCTATTTATCTAGTTTTTTTCTCTCAATATTCTAAAGTCGTGACCACGTGAACGTCCAATAGTGAGGATCTATGAAAAAGCATGTCAAAATCAACCTCTACTAATTTGTGCGAGAGTTTATACACAAATTCGTGGTCGAGCATTTTTCTCCTTTTCAAAGTATTAGAATTCAGCAGAGATAATCTTTCTTTATAAGATAAGTGGAACACTCCTTTGCGTGCAAAAATTTTTTCAGTGAATTTGGCCTGAACCCTCTCAATACGTTCAACCAAGTGTTTGTTTGATGGGCTCCAAACCATTGGACAGTAGTTCCAGTAGTAACGCCCTTCTGAGTTTCATCCACCAAAAATTGGATGATATCTGATGTATTCCCAATTAAGAGAAGGCCAGCAGCAATAAAAAGGAAAAGTTATGTGATCCTTGTTATGAAAACGTCTGGGCAAGGATATTCAGTAAAATAATGTGGGACCTGTTGCAGGAGTCTGTTTAGACTCGAAAGCCGATTTTCTTGTGCTGCAGGTGTTGATGGCACCGTGGAGAAAACAGGAGCATCGAATGACCTTAAAATAGTGATATTATTAATGAAAAAAACGAAGCATTACACTAAATAATACCATCCGCTTTGATTCCTGGGAGGTGCTCCAAGTATATCGCGAGAAAGTGGTGCATTAGTGGATCTGAACGAGTAGCGATTTCCAGTGAAATAGACCTCTGAGAAAAACATATTCGCCGCACTGTTGCAATTGATCATTAACATCCATGGGCTCATCAGCTGCGACTTTCGATTCGACTGATTTCTCCAGCTCCATTTTTGTACGCAGTTCTTCTTCAAATCGCTGAAAAGAAGAACGGAGAGCAGTGTACGATGGAAAGAATGGCTAATCACTTCCCCTTTTATGAACTGACCGCCAAACGAGCAGCTTCCAGCATAGCTCTCTGTTCATTTTCTGCTTTCTTCTTGGCGTAGTTGGCAAGCAGCGCCTCCTTCTCCGCTGTATCACTAGCTATTCGTGCTGCGATTTCGTCCAGTTGTTCTTTTGTTAGACTCACACGCTGATATCTAGATCAACTAATACATATTAGAGGAGGAATCACTAACACGACGGTAGCTCATGGGTTGTACTGAACAATGTCTTGAACAGCGATCAGTTTGGGCAAGTGATATGTAATTTGGCGACAAAAACGGGTTGCGTGAGGGAAAGTCGATGTGCAGCACAACCTAACCCAGACGATTTTCATGATTGATGGTTCCCGGCCTCACTTACGCGGATTACTCCAGACGCTGACTTCTTAGATTCTGCAGTCCTTTCTGCTTTGACCATCCCGCTGGAAAGTTGGACTCGGCGCAAGCAGCGCCTTCCACATATGATGAACCTTTTGCATCTCCATTTCAACTCTCATTCAAAGATGCTGTGTCGATTGGAACCTTGACAAAAATCTTGATGAGAGGTTGTCATCCGCATCATTCCTTCTCTCCCCCCCCCCACCCACCCACTTCGCAAAGCATATTTTGTCTAACACAAGAGCCAATTCAGAAATGCCGTTTTGAGATTGACTATACGATGACTGTCGAACTAGAATTGAATTTCCGTTGCTCTGCAAGTCATGCCAACCCCAATGATCGTGTTCTATTTTGAGGTGCACCAAAAATACACGGTTTTCCACTGGCTCCAGGATTCCTATCATTCATTTTACCCGAAAAACGATAACCAAGATAACCAATCTCCGCTAAGCTAATGTGATTAGAAAAAGATCGTAACAACGAAAAAAAAATATCTCGTGTTCGTATTAAATCACCTTATGAGACACTTTCCTGAAGTTATACCAATTGATGAAAGTGTCGTTCTTTGCAATTCTGCTGGACCGGAATACTGAAACATTTCGAAAGCATTACAAAGATATATAAGAGTAGAACAGACAACATCAAAAGATTCGCTTATTGATGTTCAATATGCTGCACAGTATTTTTAAGGATGACTTGCCGTTTTGTTTTAATCTTTCATACATTTTCATTCGAGAAAATGCTTGGGTAGGTGTAGATTCGGGTATGAAACTGTGTCTTCAAAGTCGGGCCGAGGTTGCAAAATCAGAACCCCGAATTGGCATTGCTCTAAGGAGATTATACCACTCGATGTACTGTGGGATGGCTATAAAGGTTCCAAGAAGCACTTACAGGCGTGCCTGCATCTAAGATCGGAAAGAAGACTCTAGTTGGATTACGTAGTCAAAAGTGGACTGCACCAAAATCGTTCTGACAGTATACTTTGATTGTAATGAATAAACGTCTCACGGTTATGCTTCTAGTGTTAGTAGTAGCTACGGGAAGCGTAAAAACTGATTC